TGAAGTACTTAACAGGCAGAACACCCAGCTCGCGATGGGCAGTTCACGCCACAAGCTTAAGATCCCGACTGCGATCTTAAGCTCGTTAGTCGGATCCCTACTCCATTTCCTCGACACATTCAACATGTGTCGACCGCAACCAAGGTCGAGCGCAAATCTCCAACCTTAATAATACCAACTTTCATACAATAAGCAAGTCAAAAACAACGACAATTAATTATTTATAAATAAATAGGCATAAAAGCAAAATGAAGGCATTCATAAATGCCGACCACGAAGAACAATGTTATTTAAATAATTAAAAAATTAGGCACGACGGCCACGAATCCAAAATAAAATAAAACGGGCACGTAGACCCTAAAACAAATCATATCTCCTCCTCCCCGTCGCTATTCTCGGGAGGGTAGAAGATTTTCCCATCAATCACTTGGTTAAATGGCCATGCGCCTTCGACCATAAACTCGACCCCTGTGTTCAGAATCTTCAGCTACTCCACGACCGTGTTGAAACCATAGCCTAGTGTATCCACGACGTCTTGCTCGAGCACCCGATGTGCACAATTAGCTTTGCTCTGGACACCATGGCTTTCTCTGCGTTGGTCTCTTCTTCAGCCGGGGCTGCGATCCCTTCCAGCTCTTTTGTTCGCGAAACCAGGCGCTTGTTCTCTTTGGTCACGACATCTAGTTGGGGCCGTAACTCGTTCAGATCCTTGAGAAGTCGAACTTGGGCCTCGAACTTTGACTCGTGGTTGAGGATGTCGTACTTTAATTTCTCATTCTTGGCCTTCAACTTTTGAATCTTAGCATATGTTGCATCGAGGGAGGCCTGAGAGCTCTCGGCCTCATCATTTAGCGTCAAGGTCATCTCGAGCATCCTCATCACAGCGGCCACATCCTCCTACAAGTTCTTTCGATGAATCTCCTTATCCTCGGGCATGATCGCTTACCTCTCCTCCTCGTGAATTCCTAGGGAGCTCTCCCTGCTAAAGAGATTGCGGTTTAGATAACAGGGAGGCAGTACGAAGACCCCTCCGGGCCTCTTATAATCTTTAGGAACTATGCGCTCGGCATCCTCCACGTGCTTCCTCTTTGTTGCGGTTTACTGGGGGGAACCTAGGCGGGATCGCTGGGGGGAACTTGGGTTTTTGATAAAGAGGGGGAACCGCTGGCACGAGCAGCAGATTTGGCCTGCTCTTGGAGCTGGGAGACCCTGTTCTTTGGCCCCAAGGTGGAAGCATTTTTGGGTCACAACTTTAATAATCGCTCGGAGAGGGACGCCATCCGACCTGCAATCAAAAAGAAACCATCAGTCACAGGTTAAACAAAGATAATATCGCGGGCACGTCCTCGCATAAAAGCCAAATAAATAATCATCGCGACCGCATCCCCTACCTAAAAGCCTCATGGCTTACTCGTCTGAAGAATATTCGAGCAAAGCCTCCGTGTTGATAAACCTATTAACTAAGAGGTACTCCCCGTTGTCTTCGAAGAGGAGGTTGTTGTTTACATCCACACACCTCGCTGGGGAGAAGCTCCTAACATAGGCCTCCAGCTTCTCATAGGAGAGCTGGTCCTGAACGTCCAAGTCCTCAGGCTTTACAGCATAATACTCGGGCTTTTGCTCGAAATGTTTCCATTTCCATTCAAGCAGAAATCTGGCCACGAGCCGAGTAATTGGTCGTCCATCCTCTACTTCTTCCACACGAGTGTATAGGGAGTCTATGGTTAGGTCTGTCAAAGGCTTCACGACAAAGTATCTTTCTTTGAAGTGAAGGACAAACTCCAGGTAAGGACAACTTCTAGACAGTTGAACGCGTCTGTTGCATCATACGAAAAGCACGACCTTTTATTTCGAGGCTCAGGTGCGACCCAGGCCAAGGGGTCCTCCTCGACGTTGATTTCGTCTTCATGGTTGGCGGGCAAGACATCATCCCCGAACGAGTGTGCCATTATACCTGAAAATCAGGGGAAAATAGTGAATTCGGCATCATCAAATTCACTCTTCCACCGCAAATCAAGTGAAAGGGCGATGAGCGATCGAGGAACGGACCTCGACCCAAGCCCTCGACTGCGCACTAAAACGGACTACACTTTCTATAGGGGATATCTAATCAAACGGTCAAGAAGCCCGCATCAACTCCTATTATTTGGGGAAATTGTCCTCGACACCATGAAAATTAACCTCATGAACTTCAATGAACATTCATGAGTGTTCATCGTAGAACGCATGAATGTTCATCCAAGATTTATCCATTCAAGATAAAAACTTGGTGTTTAATCTAGAAACACTAAGAAAATACATTGTTAAAGAGATATGACTTACTTGGATGAAGGATACTTGGAAGAAATCTGAAGAGAAGTTGGGAGGAAAGGATTCACGCGCGAGCAAGGGAAGTTGCAGAAAACTTGAGAAATGATAAATGAAACCCTGGGGTTCCCCTTTTTATAGGTGGCTCACACTCCACGAGGTTTATCACAAAAAGTCATCATTGGATTGGGCCTTTTGGACTCCCCATGGAGAGATGGAAACCCAAAGCGACAACCACATGGACCAACAATCAGCCACATATCCATTCTCAAGAGACGAACACGTCCCCGACTTCAACACAAAACTCCGTACGCGCACGAGGCAGACGCCTCACACGAAGAAATGATCGACACCATGGCTGAAACATGCATACGGGCATATTCATCGTGATCCACCTCGAGGGCAAAATAATGCTCGACATCGTGACAACCCCTTGAAGACGGACACGTCGAAAAAGAGTTCGTAGAAGCTCCCCATAGTCTATATACTCTTGTCGAACACTGAACAAACAACTGACCCAGTCGGTCTCACAACTCGTTTGTCCACGAGATTTCCGACACGGTCAAATAGGTTATCCCTGACACGGGCAACAAATTGTTTCCTTTCAGAGGACTTCAACCTCCCTTCTCGAGAAAATTCTCCCCGGCCATAAAGCTGAACTTAAGTCACCACCCTTTCACTTAAGGGCAATAACTTAGGGGGCTCCTGATCTGGACTGAGCTTGCACTTGTCCTACTGTTGGGAGGCCCAACCCAACACCCTTGCATAAGGCCTAAAGGCAAGAAACTCAAGCTGGGGATCGTTGGGCAACTCCTCACGCGTCTGTTGGGGAACGTGGTCCACATGTCCGTATCATTGTCATCATAATTGCCCTATGAAAATCACATGTCCAACACCTATTCTCGCGTGGCAGTTGACCAGGGGGGAGTCCACGTGCTGGACTCCATACACACGTAAGTCCTGGCAGTCTTTATTGTTGGGACTCATCGTGTCCCAACATTGGGGACCTTGGCCCAACGCTGGGGGCTATAAATACCCTCTCATTTGAGAGAGTCAGGTATTCATTCTTTCAGACTCAAATACTCACACTTGCTTGCACTCTCCCTGAAACTTACTTTGGCATCAAAGTGTCTTACAAGTACCCGCCCATCTCCTCTTCAGTTGCTGCTCAACTTACAATTCACAGGCTTTGACGATCCATTCTGCTCAGTTACGATCAGTTTCCTTCAACAATAATATTCTCATCAATATGTTCTTCCTCGTGTTATGTATTTTCCACAAAATCAGGGTTCATGGAGCTAGGTATCATCTCTATCATTGTTGTCTAGTATAATATCATCATAACTATTATTAGGATCCTCACCTTTATTGAGGATAGTAGTGTCCGAATGAGGAGTTTGCACACCATCAAGATGACTAGAAGGTTGTAAATTGCACTCCTTATTGGCTCAAGGAGGATTTCCCTCCTTATTGGAAATGTTAGCATCATTGTTGTTATAATCAACATTGGAAGGATCCTTATTGAAATTATTAACATCATTGTTTCTCCGCACACCATCGTCCTTGTGCTCTTGTTATATTTTGTGATTGAATGATCAACATTCTTGTCGAAATTATAAAATCTAAGGAGTTTTTCATATTCAATACCAACATAAGAGGATAACTACTCATTTCCACTAAGATTTTGTCCCACAACTAATTAGAAATATCAACATCAACCAATATTCTAACGTAATGACCAAAGTTCATATTAAACAAGAACTCAGTCGCGTTGTTATTCAAACATATAGGCTTACCCACACTATCAACAATAACATATATGATCTTTGGCTTCCAATATTCTCGGATCAGTCCTAAGATGTACACCTACACTTGAATGCTGGTTTGATGTTGCAGATTAGGATTAGGATTAATGTTTTCTGAGTACACCGATTACACACTTTTGAGATACTCAACCAAGAAAAAGGATGACCCATCATAAATCTTTATCAAGCAAGGTGATGCCTCGTTTACCAACGAAATTCTAGATATATTGAAGTTTGGATAGTAATACATCTATTTTTAGAGATGTAGCCCCCTTAGACCATATCATTGGTCATTGAAATTTTTCTTGCAAGTTTTGTAGCATATTGTAAAGAATGTTTTGTCACTCAACACCACAATTAGATCCTTGATGAAAACGAAATTTAGCTGAAAACTGAAAAACACAATTTTGATAGAATTAAATATTATAAAAACAATTATGATGTAGTTTAGATATTACATCTTTGAATAGTCAAGTAAAACTTTTGATAATCTACATAGATGAAAAGTGTCTATATAAAACCAAAGAACAATACACTCATTATAACAAATTGATAAAATAGAAAATCAGAGTTGAGAATTACATATTTATACTCAATGAACTAGAATTCACATAAACTAAATTATGTTGGAGAGTTTAAAAAGATACATTACAAGAAGTAAAAGAGAATAAAAAAGACAATGATCTTGATAGCAAAGAAGACTTTATGTACTTGACATAGTTCTAAATTGCGGTCTGCCACTCCAATACAACAGTTTTTGAGGTCACTGCAACGGTATCTCATATGCATTTGCGGCTGTTTTTGCCGCAATATAAAGGCTTGCTGCATAACCACGACCGCAATTTAAAACCATTGAAGTTAACTACACATAAACGCATACGAATCGCGTTAAAACACTTCCATCCTTTGAGGAACCGGAGTTTTAATGACCTGCAATATTTGCACAATTTCGGCCATAGTAGGCCGGCTAGACGGTATTTGAGAAGTACACACCATTGCGAGCTTCAAAACAGGCAAAACCTCATCCTCAGGATATTCATTCATCATACTCGGATCCACACACTCCAAAACATTACCATGTTCAAGCAAATCCCTCACATGATCATTCAATATCAACACATTATCTTCGCCGTACTCCACCGGCCTCCTACCCGTCACTAACTCGAGTATCATCACGCCAAAACCATACACGTCGCATTTCTCATTGACCCTTAAGCTCTGACAGGCTAATTCGGGTGCGACATAACCTAACGCACTTTGAAACCTGTTGCTCATCACATGCTTGTCTAGCTTTGTCAAAAGCCTGGCTAACCCGAAATCGGATATCTTTGCGTTGAAGTTTTCGTCGAGTAAGATGTTGCTTGGTTTTATGTTGTAGTGAATGATTGGTGGCCTGAATGAATGGTGCAAATGTGCGAGTCCCTTCGCTGTTCCGAGCAAAATCTTGAATCTGTTAGGCCATGAAAGTGAAGGACTTGAAGGAAGCTTTTCGTGTAACTTGGATTGCAAGTTACCATTCGGTGCGAATTCGGATACTAGAAGTTGAAGTTGAGGAGTCCAATAGTATCCTTTCAACGCTATCAAATTCGGGTGTCTGGCTTTGCCTAGAATTCTAACTTCCCTGTCAAAGTCTTCTGGAAATTGGATTATGTTTGACGTGACGAGCTTCTTGATTGCGACATTTCTTCCTTGTTGCGATCCTAATGGAATTTTGTAAACCGTTCCGAAAACTCCTTCACCAATCTCAGATGCCTTGCTGAGCAAGTTTTCCGGATTACTGATCCAATCTTGCGAGGATTGTGAATCAAAAAGAACGAGTTTACCTGTGGCCGGTGCTCCCGATTTTGAAGAACTCGAACACATGCTTTCCAAACTATTCTCCACAAACGCTAGCTTTCTCCTTACCGAAGCGTTAAGTAGACTAATAGCAATAACTCCTAACACAATCACAAAAGAAGCCGCAATTGCTATAATCGCCGAAATACTAAGGAACCTGTGGTGATGAATTGAACCACTTGACTCAGACGATTCGTTTCTCGGTGTTTGAGGATTCATTTGGTTGTCAAAGCCATGTGGATCAAGAACTAGAGGTTTTGAAACATTCATTTTGCATGGACCTTTCAACAAGGGCGAGCAAAGACCGTAGTTTCCTTCCAAAGAACTTTTGTCTAAGTTTTGAAATATGCTACCGACCGGAAGCCTTCCGGTGAGGCTGTTGTGTGATATGTTCACAGCAAGAAGATTTTGAAGCTTTCCTAGCTCCATTGGCAGCTCACCATTAAGTTCATTGAATTCCAAGTTGAGGATTTTGAGCTTGTTTAGATTTGACATCGACTTCGGGATTGAACCTGTCAAATTATTGAATGACAAACTCCTGCATAAAAATAGATATGAATTAGTGTCTGATTGGATTGACTTATTTATGCTTATCTACTAGTATAAACACTTGCAAACTTGTTTGAAAGAGCTTAAGGAAACAGCTTATAACATTTACATAAGCTGTTTTTGGTTTATTTCTATAAGCTGTCCATGATAGCTTATGAAAACTATTTGACTTAGTGAAACACTTGTAAACTTCTTAGAAAGAGCTTATGAAAACAGCTTACAGCATGTGCATAAACTGTTTTTGGCTTATTTCTGTAAGCTGTTTATGGTAGCTTATGAAAACTTGGTGTGTGTTGATTCTCTGGTCACAAGAATTGATTTTGAATGAAGTGATTCTAACTAAAATTAGTTTGACGCAAAAATGATTTATTTTTGAATGCATTCACGCAAATTTTGAGGCTAAAAATCAATTGTAGAGACAAAATCTCTAAATTCTATCTTTAAGCCAGAATCAATTCTAGAAGCAAAATCAGTTCTACGTGAAAACATCCACAAATCTCAAAATCAGTTCTAAATCTCTAGAATTAATTTGGTCACCTCAAAACCTGTATAAATTATTCTCTGTTATAGAAATAACTTATACATAAGCACTTACACGAAAAGCGCTTATGCTTTACGATAATACTAAAGTTCAAGAAATAGGATGAACTTACAACAAGTAAAGAGATGAACAATTTCCAATATCTTCTGGAATAGGCCCCTTCAATGAATTTCCATCCAACTGAAGAACATCCAAATTTCCCGAATCACATATATCCTTCGGAATCGAACCAAACAACGCGCAATTACGCAGATCCAAAACCTCTAGATTCTGAAGTAGACCGAATTCCGGTGGAATCTCAGAACCAAGATCATTCCAAGAAAAATTCAAGTATCTCAGCTTCGAAAGCAGCCCGATTTCAGCAGGAACATTCCCTTTTAACCGATTAACCGAAAGATCCAACTTTGTAAGAGTTTCTAACAACCTGTTTGATCCAGCCGGAACCGAACCGATTAGTCCATTACGCGAAAAATCGATTTCCTCTAACCCTAATCCAAACAAGCCCTCAGGTATAGTACCATTGAAACCATTCCCTCTAAGAAAAATCTTAGATAACTTGATGCATGAAACCAATGACAAAGGAATGTTTCCATAGAATTGATTATTAGATAAGTCGAAATGCTCCAAACTAATCAAGTTACCAATCCATTGAGGAAACTCACCAAATAAGTGATTATCTGAAACCCTAAAATATCTCAAATAGCTTAATCTCCCAAATGATCCAGGCAATTCACCACTAAACTGATTATTACCAAAATCAATTCTATCCAAATGAACACAAAATCCAACATCCTTTGGTAATTCACCTGAAAACTGATTATTCTGCAGCAACAACTCTTTCAAGTTATGCAAATTTGAAACACCATCAACCAAGTTTCCAGATAAAGCATTGTTTGATAGATCCAAATTCCTAAGCCTACTCAATAACCAAACCCTCGAAAAATCAACATTTCCACTAAAGTGATTATTCGAAAAATCTAGGCTATTGACCAAAGAACATTTAGATATTGTACTAGGAATCTGTCCTTCAAACATGTTCATAGCGAAAGAAACCCGTCTAAGGAAAGAACAATCCTGGAAAAAACCATCAAACATCTGTCCTGCGAATGAATTATACGAGAGATCGATGAATCTGATCGAACTCATGTTAATAAAAGAGTTTGGTAATTGACCCGAGATTGAGTTATGACTAAGGTTTAGATTTTCAAGTGTGCTAGAAAGTGTGAGTGAAGGACTAATGGTTCCACTCAAATTGTTGTGAGAGAGTTGCAACACTTGTAAGTGTTGCAATTTTTCTAGTCCTCTTCCTATTTTACCTGATAAGGATAATCCATCTAGTGAAAGTTCCGAAACTCTTCCTTGTTCATTGCATTTTATGTATTGCCATGAACATGGATTCATGTCATCTTCGTTCCATGATGAGAGCGAAGATGAAGGGTCATGGAGATCGGATTTGAACACCATTAGGCCGAGCACATCGTCGTTTAGTTGAATGTTTATGTTGTTGTTGTTTGAGGAACAAGTTTGGAGATTGGAGAGTGAGGTGATTAGAAGTGTTGTCAAGAGTGTTAAGGAAATGTGGTGAAAAGTCTTCATTCTTGTGTTCTTCTTTGATGTTTGAGGTTGGATTCTCTTACTATGTTTGGTTTTTTGATATGAGTGAGGTTTTGGTGTTTTTTGGTTTGTTCAGGATCTAGTATGGCTTGTGAAAAATGGTAGATTACCTCATTGAAAATGATGTTACATGTTTGTTCACGACATGGAAAGATGAACTAGGGTAAAATTATTTTTTAACTAATTTTCTATAGAAAATTACAAATGCTTTTTTCTTCACAAAATCAATTCAAATTGGACAATAAACACCGTCTCAAGTATTCGCTTATAGAACAGAAGAGAAACCAAGAGAAAAAGTATAAGATTCTTAGACAAAATTGGTGGATTAATTTACTATATTAGGGTAAGAAATGATAGGCCATTGAGAAAGCAAATTATAGGTGAACATGGTAATGGTAATGTTAGTGAAGTCCGTGATCATATAGTTATGTGATCCACATTAACTCCAACAAACAAACATGACATAGGTAACGACAAATTTGCCACCATATTACAACTTACAAGGTTTTGTCTTGTCTTGGAAACTCTTGCTACTTGTGACTTTCAAATGTGTTTTTTTAATTAGTTTTGTGTATATGTTATGTTATGTTAGTGTACTTTTACTATCATGATTCAAAATGAGAATGAGTATTCTATTATTATGACAATTATTTTTGAAATTATATAGTATGATTCATTGATTTTGATGCTTTAAATGAAGAGAATCTAATTATAGTGTTCTGGCATTAACAGTGTCTTTTTCAATGGGGAAAAAATAATGCACAAACAAATGTTATTTTAATTTCGCTATATTTATTTTTTATTTGAATTGATTCCGACTATTAATTTTGTGATAATTTACTTGACAAAGACAACAAACAAAGTATTTGATTTAATTAAAAAATGATTTTAATTGGTATATACTTAATAAACACATTCCATTTGACAAAAGACTTGGACAATATTATATTAAACATACTAACAAAAATATTCCGTTTGAAATTGAATCGAAAAGTATGTGTGCATAGAAAAAGAAATTTTCACTTTTATATTAAATAGTGGTGATTTTCACCGCTGAAAATTCAAAAGTACTCTTCGAATATATACATCCGAACACACCTCTTAGCATGTTTAAGATATATGTATTTGAAGACACTTTTTTCCCACGTTTTATTACTTAAACGTTGAATTTTAAATTTTTGAGATAGTTTTAGATATGCACATCCGAAACATGCTGAGATGTACATTCAAATGTGCATATTCGAAACTATCATTTTCATATTAGAATGCTGCATGGTCACCCATTCCAACCATTTCATTCATTTTCTTTCCCTCCATAACCAAAATCCTCAATAAAACTTCAATCATTCTCAATGAAATTTTTGTCTCCAAGTCAAGTTTCAAGTGTTTGAGTATAGCAAAGAGAGCATAGAAAGCTGCAATTCGAGATAAAATTTCATCACGTCATCATACATTGCCTGCATTGATGTTGAGTTGTGGTAGAAAAAAGCAACGTCGCTTCAGATATGCATATCCGAGTTCAACCTGCCTTAATTCGGATGTGCATATCCGAAAACATGACTGTTACAAAATCAGAATTATGTTTTAACAGAATTTATGTTTTTTTGAATATGCTAGGTATGGTGCACCCCGACAATATTGCTAAAGCTGTCGTAAAGGTTCCAGACAAGGTCATTGAAGATGCTAAGCTGAATGAGGTGAAGGACATTGATAAAAGTGGTCAAGCTTGAGTATCATTCACCTACACTTGACACTGAAGGAAACATAAAGTTCACCCCGTTTAAGCTCAAGAACGACGACAATTTAGAGGTTATGTGGGATACTTTTCATGATACTCTTCTAAGGGTCCGATTGAGATGGATGCGAAACTTCAAAGATCGACAAAAGATATTATCAAGATGTTGCAACGTCCTTAACTTCCCATTTATAACAATATGTAATTTTAAATTTCTGCAGAACTATTTATGTAATTTCTTTGAATTAGGTTGAATTAATGTTATGAATTATGTTGAATGTTCTTCCCAAAGATAAATTCGGATATGCATATTCGAAAAAGGCCATCAGATGAATTCAGATATGCATATCCGAATTAAATTTAATAAAAAAGGTTAGTGTTACGTTCGGATATGTATATATGAATTCTGGAAGTATTTTGGATTTTTCGCTAGAGGTCTGGAAGAAGAGTACTAAGTTTAAAGAGAAAATATCTAAAAAAAACCATGTTTGATTTATATGATATGATTTTTACGTCTAGATAAAAATCAGAAGAAAAATTTGGTATAAAATAAACACAATAAAATAAAATACTAACTTGCTTGTATGAACAAAAAATTTCATTTATAAGATTATAAAATTCATTTTTCACATAATTCACAAAATGCAAGAATCATTCATGTATAGAAGTTAGTCCAGTCTCCTCACTACATGTGAGAGACTTGTTTCTATATTCTAATATAAATTTAAATGTATGATTAATATTCTTGGCCCGTCATTCAACGACAAACTGTCGATGCAGTCGTTAAAATTGTTAGAGTCCCACCTCTTCAGACAAAAGATGATTCTATTTTGAGGACATGTCTTTCTAACCCTACATAACGACAATCCACTCTTCCAAGAGTCAAACAAGTAACATTTCCAAGCTCCTTCGTTCTTCGAATTTACATAACAAATTCACCAAGATGAACCATCAAATCGGCCTCCTCCACTCACTACAAGAAATTATCCATTGTACGATACATGCATTGCGACAATTGTGAAAACTGCCCTTATTCCATATATGTGACAATTGCGACGAAGTTTAATGGCAACTGCCTCAACTTTTTTTTTAAAAAGAAATAGAAAATAGTGTAGCACGTAATATACACCACTCTCAATAGTGTTTGAGACAGTTGCCGTAATACACACCTACGCTTAATATTGTAGCACGACGATTGTGAAACTGTCGCGTCCTCAATTCACAATATGCATGCTATGTGTTTAAAAAAGTAGAATCCATTCTACTATCATGAACAATGACATTTGATTCAAGATTATGAATTCTCATCTTCCCTCTCCCAAATTTCACCCAGTTTTCTCAAGTCTCGAAATTTTCATCTTCCCTCTCCCATATTTCACTCAGCTTCCTCAAGTCTTAACATTTCCCACTTCATTTATATTCTTTCCCTAAAAAATTTTTGGGATTCTTCAAATCACAAAAACCCTAATTTCAGTTCTCATTCTTTGCAAACCGTTCCCCTCTCACTATGTGCCAGCCACACTGATTTCAATTTTTGTCATCTCACATTTTTTTGCACTGTAAATGCAACAAATACATCTTTGGTCACCACAACTCATGTCCAGAGACGATCAATACACCTTCGTTGACTATTGACGGTCAATTTCAATGATTCAATCCAAAGTATGATACGGTGGGAGAACTGACTTGAGGGTTTTGCGGTTTATCGCAAATGTTGCGGTTAGCAAGAGTCGCCACCGACTTTTCTTTTATCCAAAAGGAATGGTGAAAAAGCATAGGAAAGACCTTTGAGATTATTTCTTGAGTTCGGGGGGTAGATTATAAAAAGGGAAGGTATTAGCACCCTTTTCATCTATGATTCTCCATGGGCTATTAGTTACTTGCTAGATCACTTGCTTTTGTTTGAAATTGTGCTTTGTGTGGTTTTTGAAAGTATTTTGTAAAGAGGCCATTGTTTAGCCAATCTTTTTAATGATTCTTGTTTGTAAGAATGTATACAAAAATGTTGATCTTTTGAAAATATTTTCAATTTTGTAAGATGTTTGAAAGTGTATGTGTTTGTTTTGAGAATAAAAAGGATGTTTGTTTTGAAATGGAGCAAGTAATTAGGAGCAATCTACCTACTCAAATGTCTTTCTTGTTCATTTTCTTTTCCTTTGACATTGTTGTCTTACCATTGATTTGGTAAGCAACCCTATCCTTGGATGTAAATGGGACGGGCGTGGGTCATCGTATAACCATGATTAGCAATGTTGCAAGGTATCTTAGCATTCTTTTTGAGGGACTATGATCATTTGTAAGACAACTTAGATAGCGTCATCGAGAGACTATGATCTTGTATTTGCTTGTTTTTGCTAAGATACCTTACATGCGTAATATGGTCATTTTGTATAAAGCAACCAAGTGGAATAACCCTAGGGGTGCTTGTGTGCAAGTGTATTGTTTTCATGCATGTTTTTGTCTTGAATTAGGGTTTTCTAAGTGTTTATTTTATTATTTTCATACAAACCCTAATTACTAGCATGTTATATAAAAGCGATAAATTGCGAAATTTAAAGTTACTACGCTATTACAACACTTGTGGGGAGGGGGGTATACAAATTCATGAATGAGGATTGCAAGAATTTAAAGCCTAATTAGTCTATTACAACCATATTAAATTGATATCAATGTACAAGGAAATAAATAAATACAAAGTACAAAATGAATAAATGTACAAAAAAAATGCAAAATGTAAAGAAAATGTATCTTTGTTTGATTTTCATGAAAAAGAGATTTTGTCTTAACCTAATTAAATAAAGAAAATAATTATTTAAGTTTAAATTTATTAAGAAAAGATTTTTGAATAAAACCCTAATTCTATTTAGTTGATTAAAAGAAAATAAGTTTAGAAAAAGTATTTTAAGTATTTTTATTTTGAAAATATTTATAGCATTATAAAATATTTTTAGTCTTTTTTTATATAAAAAATAATGTATTTAAATTAGTATGAAAAAAATAACTAATAACCTAATTTTATTTATTTACAAGATAATAAGTAAAAAAAATAAATAAATTATAATTAATAAAAATATTTTTGTGAGAAAAATAAAATAAACTAAGTCAAAATATAAATATATCATCTTTTGTATTTTATGATTTTTTTAGTATTTAGATAATATATTTAAGGAAAAAAATGAAATAAAATAAAATAAAAAAAATAAACAAACTTGGGCCAGGGGTGCCATTAGTCAACAGGGAGGTCAGC